CGTTGGTCTCGTACTGGGAGGCAGAACTTGCTTTCGTGTCACGTGTCGGTAATGTCTAGGAACTGTTAATTTTGCATGTAAACAGGGACCAATAATAGAAATTTTTTTAAAAATTTATGTTATTTTATTAAAATATTAAAAGAATATTATAACAAATTTATTTCTGATTTAAAATAACCTTCTGTTTCTTTTTTTTTTTTTTTCTGATAGAGGCAATAATTGTTTAAGAGTTAAGGATTAAAAGTTAATATTTTATTTTTTATAAGGTTCAACCACTAATCAAGATACATTTCACTGACAACCTTTTTGAGCTATAATAACCACAATGTAGAAGGAGAATGCACCTTCTGTTTCTTATTAAAAATATTATGTGCAGTTGATAAAAAAGGATCAATCACCGAAACCGATATATTAGCATTTACAATTTCTTTAAGTTCCAGCTTCCCTTAACTTAAACTGCACGTACTTTTTTTTTATATAATAAAAAACAATCATCTTATATCTTTTATCTTATTTTATTTGTATATCATGCAATTGAAATTTAATACATTTTACTTTTGAAAAAAAAAAGATTATTAAATTATTTAAGTTGTTAAGTAAGTTGTACCCTTTAATTGCAAAGGAAAAATAATATATTTTGTATCTCCAAAAAAAAAAATATCAATCATATATGTAATTGTCTAATTAGAAACTTATATTTTTATTAATAACTTAAATAATTTAATTATAATCTCCTTTTGTTAGAGAAATTTAGACTTCTGTGTATGTTTTTAATTAATTCACAAACCCAAGAAATATCAAGTAAAAACATACATTTTCCCTTACATTCTCAAGATCATTTATATTGTGAAAATTTGTATTGCATTTTGCATATTAATTTTTCTATGGCAATACAATTAATTAGTTAAAACCCCAAATAATTCTTCATCTCATGAGGAAAACAAGGATATTTACTCCAATAATTCCCATGCAATTTCAACATATTGATCACCTTCTCCTTCGTCGACGATCTCCCGTCCAAATGCAGCAACGCCAAAAGCTTCTTCACCGATCCACACATCAGCATTTCGTCCAAAACTCTCTCCGTCGGATGAAAACTTCCGACCAGCCACATGATCCTCACGCCGATCTTCGTCGCCGTGTTGGAGACCAGCATCAGTTTCTTAGATACGGCGGCGATTCCCAACCCGTGCTCCACCAGCGCCTGTCTTCCTTCCGCGCATTCGCAGAGTAACTTTATCAGAAACAGAATTTTCTCGCTTTTGGATCTGTTTGAATCCGGTAAGAGCTCAATTAGGACGCAGACGGCGCCGGACTCTATCGCCTTGAATCGGCTCTTCTTCGACGTTTCTAAGATCTCGATTAGAAACTCCAGCGCACATGAACTCGCCTTGCTGCAGATCTGGTCGGAAACCAACTCTAACAGAGATTTGAAGAAATCTATGCCTTGATCTTGAAGCAAGAAATTCCAATTGTAACCGGAAGTAGTCTTCGCCATTTTCCTGAAAATCGTTGACGCATGGAGCCTCGCTTCGGCGCTTCCTCTTTGAAGGATAATCGCCATTGATTTCACGCACTCTGTTTTTGACAAAATTTCGAATGTACTGTTTTGATCTTCCGAATCCGACAACGGAAGCTTATGCAGAACGCCGAGCGCCTCTTCGCACGCTCGGAACGCGACGAAATCGAAAACGTCGATTAGAATCTGAACGATTATTCGAGCGAGAATTTCAACGCCACCGGATCGGATGAAATCCGATTTAGTCTCGTCCCCAATTTCGACAATGGATCGGAGCTTTTTCAAGGCGGTGACCTTAAACGGAGAGGATTCGACTGTGCTGAGGAGGGAGACCAGCTCGTCGTGCTTGGCGGAGAACGGCGGAGGCGGAGGAGGAGATGAGGAAGATTGAGTGTTCTGCCAGGAGAGGATGAGTCGCTTGAGGGTGTGATTGGGAGTGAGGTGGAAGCTGTGGACAAATTGCATGGTGGCGGGACAGGTAGTCTTCTTGAAAGTGAAGAACCATTTCTCTATGTTCTTGCGGTCGTAGGTGACGCCCGTAGAGATCGTCACCGGATCGCTCATGAGGTCCATGGAAATCGGGCATCGGAAATCAGCCGGACAACCAGATTCCTCCATTGCAATTGACTCAATCTCTTTTTCAAAGAATCCGAAATGTCAAGTGAGGGAGGGAGGATGCTACATGATACTACTACTATTATATATAGATTTATTTATAAATATTTTTTTAAAATAAAATCGTTTTAATAAGGAAATAAAGTCAAACGTTATCGTATGCCAATTGCAAGCTGTTATTTATTATATATATATAAATATATTTTTATTTTGGTTGCATAATGGGGAGGTGATTATCTTTTATCTCTTATCTCATCTCACTCGTATATTATATGAGTCAAATTCAGAATCTCTTACTTTCAGTAGAAGAAGATGACTAATAAATTATTTAGGTTGTTGGCATTATTTATTTTATGTTTTTAAATTATTAATAATTGAAAATTTTTAACTAGTACTCTTATTTTTTTTTTTGATACATCTAATTATGAATTATATAAAAAAAAACTTTTTAAATTGAAGACCTTCAACTTTAAATTGTAAGTTTTTAATCGTTAAATCATCCTATTAAGGTTCTAATCAGTACTCTTATAGCATATGTTAATAGTATATCTATTATACTATTAATTTGTATAAAAAATATTTCATAAAAAGCTTTAATAATTAGTAGGGTTTCAAATTTTCTGCTATTCGTAAAAAACAAAAAGGGAAATACCATTAATGAATTAATTGGTATGTGTAATTTATTAAGACTATTTAAATAAAAGTTTATTTAGGTCAAGCAGACATTAATTATATTATTGTACAATTAATTTTATGTAAAAAAATAAAATTTTATTTTAAATTTATAAATTATTCAATTAAAATCATTTAAATGTTATTGG